CCCCAAAACCCCAAAACCCCAAAACCCCAAAACCCCGTGGTGAGAGGAGAAGATTGAGCTTTAGTTGTTTTGAGCGAATAAGGGGGAGTTGTCTCTTTGGATTGATTCTAGTGCTTCTCTGTCGATTTTTTGCTTGCATAAGGGGCATTTGTCAGTTTTCTTTGACAAGTCTGCGATACATTTAGGATGGAAGATATGGGCTTCATGGCATGGAAGAGCTATTATAAGATCAATTTCTATGAATTGTTCTAAGCAAATTGTGCACTCTCCCATGTTTCTGTAATCTTCGGGGTCAATTTGTAATGAAGCCGCATTGAGTAAGAGATCACTAAGAGAAATACGGCCTACTTTAGTGTCTTGTCTTTCTATTTGCACTTGTTCGCCATTAGACCAATTAAATTCAATTCGTGGCCATAAATCCAATAGAGTAATATATAGACATATGAAGGCGCATCAAACAGTACAACAAAGTACAAATATCAACAGAGCCTCTAAAAACAAGAGGATATGACCAGCCAGGAGAAGATTGAAAGACTGTCTTCAAGAATTATTATGACTAAAAAGCTTAAAAATAATATAGATATAAAACCCAATCATGCCAAGGCATATCAGAACATTCAAGGTGGCCATTAGAGCCGGTTTTATGTTACTTTTATTCAAAAGATAAATTCCTCCAGCTAAATAAAGTATTATTGCTAATTTCAAATAAACTGCTTTCAATAGTAATCCTTTTGTGTCTGGTCCACAATTCTCCAACTTAGTTCCAAAGATTCAAATAAGGAGTATTAAAGTCGTCACAGCTATCACATCAACCACAATATTATTCCTGGCTTTAAAGATTGTCTTTCCATTATGAACATGCTTTCTCCTATGGTCTTCAAACGTTACACAGGATGGATGTCCTGCAAGGACTGGTTCGGGAGCATCATAGTTCTCGTCCTCTATATCTGGAGGATAGTGGGACATTTAAGTTGACTTTTATTAATTCAAAACGCTATTTCTTTAAAGGGGTTTTGGGGTTTTGGGGTTTTGGGGTTTTGGGGTTTTGGGG